GTAAGCTCAGTGGTCTAGAAGCTGGCAACCCATGTACCAAGGCTGAATCCTTCGCTGCAGCAAAATCCGGACCTTGGCAAGGCTGAATCCTTGCTGCAGCAAATCCGACCTGCAGTCATCCCCTCTCTCTGCCCCCCTTTCCTGTCTGTCTTCAGCTGTTGCTATCATAAAGGCAATAAAAGCCTAAAAAAAATGTTAAAATAACTCTCTATTGTGGTCCTCTGGGGTTCAGTGTGTGCAGTATAGCATTTACTCATAGTAACTAACTGAACACTGCACTTTTCCAAAATCTATTTTGTTGATGAAAATTGACCTTAGTGATATTTTTGTTGTAATTTGCTTTTGTATTTATTTTACTTTTGTATTGATTTCTGTATTATTTTTATTATTTACTGTCCTACTTAATTTTCCATTTTATTTATTAATTTTTAAATCTATTTACCCTTTCTACCCCCCCCCCATTTATTTCCCCAAACATATTTATTTATGTATTTTCATGTATTAGCTACCGTTAGCTATGATAGCTGACAGTAGCAAACGTTTGCACTTGTTCCAACGGATCTCTGCCAGACCAGCATAACCTAACCTTAAAAAACAACCCCAACTGGCAGTGTAAAAAAACTAAAAAAAGACAGACATAAAGAAAAGATTGTTACTGAAAAACACATCACAATGCAAAAAATATCTACTGTTTTATTTTTCAGTTGACCTTATCTTAGTGTCAAATGCCAATGTTTCGTTTTTCAGTTCAGGTTTTCTTTCTAATGCCAAATTTAATTTTCAATGCCAAAATTTAATTTCACTGTTCTAACCCTATAGTATTGGCCTATATATCATAGCGGTGGAAACTAGCTTGGTTTTTTTGAACAGGATACATCACTGAAACATCCCTTAAATTATGTTTGCACCTTTTGAAAAAGGAAATATTCAACAAACAAGTACATAATTTGATGATAAAATAATGAATAAAACCAAAATAAAAGTCTTATTTTTCCACAATCAGTGGGAGGCATATACAAGATACAAATAATACCCCAGTAAAAAAAGGGAAATGAAACTGTAATTACATGCACCCTCTTGATATGCACAATTCAGATCAGATCATCTTCAATGCAGTGGCTGAAAATATAAACAAAGCCAATGAAGTGGGGCTACAGGGGGCACTGTTCTTCAAATTGTAAATTAAATGGATCTTTCACCTGGCAGAGGAACAGTAGTCCTCTGAGGAATATCAAGTTCATCACATTGAAAATGAAAGCGGTCCTCCTGTTCCCCATTTTCCTGTGTTTGTTTTTGGTCTCAGCTCTGTGGCATCTGCAGGAGTGAAATCCTGTAGACCTAATAGGCTTATAGGATAATATCACTTTGTTTTCCTCTTCTCTGTCCTTGCTCAGTGCTTGGTGTTTGAAGACGCTCCCAACGGCGTGAAAGCGGCGCTGGCTGCGGGCATGCAGGTGGTGATGATTCCTGACGACAACCTGGACCCCAGCCTTACCCAGGAGGCCACGCTGCGATTCAGGAGCCTGGAGGAGTTTGAGCCGCAGCTCTTCGGCCTGCCGGCGTTCGACTGAGCCAGAAAACCAAATCCAGTGTAATTCAATCTTTGTGTCTCACCCCATTCTCATATCAATTATGAACAAAGTTGATTGTTTTCAAGAATGCCTTACCATTTTGTGGGTGAATATCGATAATTGTTTTTAGCACCAGGAAATCACATTTGATTTGATTGTGATTGAGACATCACATCATTGGGGGAAAAACCATGAATCTGTCTCTATCTCAATCTGTCAAATTTTATAAAATGTTTTATTCATATGGTTAGACATAGTTGAGGTTTATAGATATTCACCTCCTAAACATCTGCCACCATGCTAATACAAGAGAGGTTAAGAGCTCCAGGGTTGAGTGGGTCCCCATTTTGTTTATCTCGTCCACCTGGGTGACATAATACACAGCCCTGCAACTGGTTTTGCACTGATCTACAGGTGGCAGTATCACACCAAATAAAACAATACAAATATAACAAAGTCATTGAAGAAGAAGACAAAGCTGGATTTAAAAAATTTTAAAAAAATTGGTTTTGCAAATGTTTTACAGGGAAGGACACACAGAAAGCTCTACTGTCATTGGTTATCCTGCACTGTCAATCATAAGTGTGCACTTCCAAATGAACAGCCCTATCTAAAGCCAGTGTTTGGTTTGACCATTCCGGGCTACTGTAGAAAAATGGTGGTCAACATGGCGGACTCCATGGAAGAAGACCCGCTCTCTCTGTAGATATAAACAGCTTATTCTAAGGTAACAAAAACACAACAATAACAAGTGATTATACACTACCATACAGTGGCAAGAAAAAGTATGTGAACCTTTTGGAATTTCATTGTTTTCTGAATAAATTTGTCATAAAATGTGATCTGATCTTCATCTAAGTCAAACAAACATAATGTGTCTAAAAATAATAACACAAAAAATTCTGATCTTTCATGTCTTTATTGAACACACTCATTCAACATTCAAAATGGCAGTGGAAAAAGTAAGTGAACCCTTAGAATTAATAACTGGTTGACCCCCCCTTGGCAGCAATAACCTCAACCAGGCGCTTCCCGTAGCTGTGGATCAGACCTGCACATTGTTGGGGAGGAATTTTAGCCAATACCGCTGTGGAGTGTCAATGTGCTCTTTTGCAAACTTCAGGCGTGCAGCAATGTTCTTTTTAGTAAGCAGTGGCTTCCTTCGTGGTGTCCTGCCGTGGATACCCTGCTTGTTCAGTGTTTTACGTATTGTAGACTCATGAACAGAGATGTTAGCAAGTTCCAATGATGCCTTCAAATCTTTGGCTGTCATTCGGGGTTGTTTCTTTACCTCATTGATGAGTCTTCGTTGTGCTCTTGGTGTCATTTTGACTGGGTGCCCACTTCATTGTAGAGTAGCAACAGTCCCAAAGTGTCCTCCATTTGTAGATTGTTTGCCCTAACTGCTAGACTGGTGGAATTTCTACAAGTCTCTTTGAATAACTTTGTAACCCCTTGCCAGCTTTATCGTAAATCAACAATTCCTCATCGTTAGACTCTGAAAGCTTTTTACTTTTTTGGTGCACGGCATGGGGTCTCAATAAGCGCTTTTTCTTCTTTTGTGCAGCACAAACGTCCTATAGTTTGAAGGGTTTTTAGGTCAAAGTTAGCTGTAGTTCCACACCTCCAAACCTTGGGGAAAATTACTGTGCTAACAGTTGCCAATACCAAAGGGTGCGCGAAAGTAAAACAGGGTTATATAGAGTGACCCCAACACAGCCTCCACAATAAATAAATCAACAAGTTAACTAAATGCCAACAAAATGCAAGCACTTCACATAAACATAAGTTAGATAAAAAGAAGTTAACTAAATGCCCTGCAAAAATGCAACAAAAATTGTCTTATAACTATTAGTACATATACAATATTACAACAATACGCACCGATTGCAAATTTAGCCAGGGCATTAAATTGAATATAAAATTAAGTACAAACTAAATAAAGTGGATACAGCAGGCAGATTGGATAACGTCCGGTAACAGGGGATACCGTGGTAAAGTGATAAAATATTCGTTATGCTGCCAGCACTTTGTTAGCAGCAGTAAATAAACTTAATAGCGCTACAGATTACAAACTAAATAAAAGTAATGAAGTGAAAATTTGGGTAAAAATGCATGAAATTACATTTGCTCAGGGCACAGTGTGTCCACTGTCCCTGGTCCGCGACCAGATGGTAGATCGATTATATATACACGCTCTTGATGGCCACAGAAGAAAAGACTTCCTCTGGCCAGTGGGGGGGGCTTGAAGTCTGGTTGTTGAAGGTCGCACCACCACGCAAAGAGTCCATTGGACCCCCAGGCACGGAACCGCCCTTCCTGATGAATCCTGCTGATCTTCTTGGCGCCTGCTGCCCTTAGCCTGCCTGCAAAGTAAGATGTACCACGACTTGGCCTAAAACATCCTCAGCATGTTGTTCACATACGTTGAATTGACCGGGAGCCTCCTTAGTTAAATAGAGCTCGACTCTGGCCGTTCTTGCTAAACAGCCTCAGGTCTTCGTGGGCCCAGCCTCCATTTTGTATCCAGGTGATACTCCAAAGTATTGCTGAATCCTGGACAAACATCCACAGTCACACCGCTGCTGGAGGATTGGGTTGCTGGCGGGCATGATTTCCTCCTGTCGGGAAATCCACCACCAGGTCCTTTATTCTTTGGTGGAGTGTGAGAGCAGATGGTTAGTTGCACCACCACTCGAGCGAAGGGAGTCCCCAACGCAACGCCCCTGTACTCCTCCTCCTTAAACAAACATTCTGTTATTGTGGTAGCACAGTTTCAGAATGGACCTCTGCATGTCACACCACAGCAATACTGTTTGGTTGCTTATTTAGATGTCAATCCAAAGACCTTTTCTGGTCAAAGCAGGAACACAGCAGATCAGTCAAAATACTGTCCTAGTCCATACATTGTGTTTAAGCAGTCTTGCTGAAATGCCAAAGACACTCCTCACCTTAGTGTAATCCAGTAAAGAGGCTGTGAGCGTCCTCACCCTTTTCATCTCTGCTCATGTCTGCCTCTACACTTACTACAATTCACATGTCCCCTGTCCTCGCGCCAAGCAGGCTCTAACGGATGGCCCGCTGGAGGATCCTGGTGTCACGGCTCCCTCGGGCAGCTGAAATAGGATTTCACTCCCATCTGCTCCACCCCCCTCCACCCCCAAGTCTTTCATCCTCAAGGAGAGGGTAGTCTCTTTGGCTCTTTTTTCCCCCTTTTCCTGCTCACACACTCATTACTCTGTAGTCATTTACCCTGTTCTGGCCTAAAAAGTGGTTAATTTCTTTCTATGTGTGTTTGCCTTTTAAGTCTTACCACAGAGTGACTGTAAACAGATCTTAAAACAGATGTCTGTATATTATTAGTATATAGGTATATTTTAATTTGAGGCTTTTCTTAACGCAGTATAGAATCAACAAAAAGAGTCACGTTACAGGTAAACTCAGATGTGCAGGGAAAAAAGGTAAAAAATAATTATAGGAGGCCTGTCCTCACTGATCACTGTACAAAAACACAACCTTATCAGTGATTTTGGTAAAACAGGATAAAGTTAGTTTGTGCAGCTAACACCTAGCCCTGGAGTGCCAGGAGCCAATCCCTGCAAAAAACACCTAAGTATTGTATCGTCAAAGTGGCTTCCATTTGCCTTGGATGCTGTATTTGGGCACAGTCTGACTGTACTGTTAACTGGGAGCTCCCGGTTTGGCAGAATCAGCTAATAGTACCGCTATAGGTAGTCGAAATTAGCTGAGTGAGATACTCATCCTCCCCTGCATCGTCTAGGTAAGAGAAAAATGGATGCCAGATAGCTGAGATGTTTTTAATTGAATTGGTTCTCAAGGAGCTGAGTCTTTCCATCTCTATGACTGAAATCGTCTCAACCATCCATCTCCGAATGGAAGGGGGAGAGGTTGATTTCCATTGGAGAGCACAGAGTGGACTGTGAGCAGCTGAAGATGGCAAGTTCAGCTTCCAATTGGATGGTTCTTTCAGGCCTTTAAGTACCAATCAAATATGTTGGGCCATAATCCATTAAGTGAAGATGTGCCCTCTGTCACATAGTGGTGAGACAGAAGGGTAAATCTTTTGCAACCTGGATTTAGAGGACAGTGGACAACTTTCCGAATAATTTAAATTCAAATTGAATGGCATTGGATCAGACTCAAAATATCTTCATCCACGCTGTGTAACAACATTTTTCTGCTGCGCAAATGTGTCAACTTTTCATTATCAAATAGAAAAAAAACATTACACAAACCCAGAGCAGAATAATTATGCAATTTCCATTCATTTTTAATTAATTTTCTTTGATTTCAGATTTAATTAGGCTGTGGGTAATTTTAGACCTATTGCATATTTTTTCAGATCTAAGTCATGCATGTATAGCAGATGGGTTACTTCATTTGTAATTTATTTGAGTATTTAATTTAAGTAAATAAAGCTTTAGTAATCCTGTCACATACACTTCACTGGTTGCATAGTCTAATGCAAGTAGCCTTCTAAGACAAGGCCACTGTTTATGGCTTTATATCAAAGAGTCAAATTTTGAAGAAAAGTGTAAGATAAAAGAAAAATCACCTGAAATTATATGTCTGGAACAGAAAGTCTGTGTCACAAAGGATTTGTGGTAAATAAAAGCTGCAACCATCCACAGCTACTTTCCTTTAACTTTTTCATGATGAGTTCAAAAAGGGATCCTTGGTTGTAATCAGCCATCATTCTTCTTGGGAGGACAGTCTTGTCTTGTCAACACGCATCAAATGAAACTCATGTTTTTGTATTTTCCCAGACAATTTTCGTTGAGCTGCAATCAATATTAACACAAAGAGGGAGCTATGTACTAAAAACACTTTCTTTGGCAGCCCAGTCTCCTATAAATTACACTGATGTGCAAATATGTTTTGAGGGAACCATAATGAGTGTGTTGATGCAGGAGTTGAACTCTAAATGAGTAAACTCTGGCTTAATTTTGAAGAGGTGGGTGACTGAGGTTACTTGGGTTTACCTCCACTACACCCCTGCTCTGTGTCTCTCTCACAAGCTAACCGGTGGTAAAGTAGTAAAGCCCGCCTCTTGCTTGATTTTGATTGTCTGTCTGGGCCAAGTGTGACATCGACAAGCAGCGCTGAAAAGTTGAAAATATTTCAACTTTTATGCACGGCTAAAAACCGTGAAACACAGGGCAAGAGAGGAGCGCATAGCATAGGAAAACAATGGTTTTGTAGGCGACCCATTTCTAGTAATGTGTCTTAGAAAATATGAATTAATGTACCTGGTAAGTTTCAAAAATGTTTAGAATGAATGTATTAGTTAAATGAGACAAGAAGACAAAAACTGTGTTTCTGCAGGCCAGGCCTCCCTGATTACTGGACAAAAACACACAACTTTACGTCTTCAAGCATTGCGGACTTTGTTGATTTCATTTACAACCAACTGCAGTATTCTTGAAAACTTCAAAATTACCGATACCTCTACTCTAAATGTAATGAAATCAGCTAGGTCCGCCAAGCTTGAGTATGTTTTTCCGGCAATAATATCCGCTTGCAGGATATATGCTCCTTTACTACAGTCTTTTCACCATGCCTAGAGTTAAACGCTGACTTAATTACTTTGTATTTGAGGCCAAGGTAAAAAAAAAAACACCTCTCCATAGCTTTGGTTTGCCGTTTCCCGTTTCCCAATCAAGAAGCAATGACGCAGAAGTGCTTTGACCCTTGGGTTTTGACTGGAAGTACTTTTTTCCATTCAAAATATTTCTCCTGAGAACACAGAAGTTTTGCGAGGGATCGCAAATTTTTTTTGAGAGAATGCAACCTTTATTTTTCAACAGTAATACAGACTTGGAAGTCATAGACAAACGATGTAGTCCTGTTGATCCAATCAGAACACATTTCTACAGTTATTTACA